GTGAGTACAGCCGTATATTCTTTAGTGTTTATAGTATAAGATAATATAGTGACTCTTGTGTTAGTACATAAAATAGAGGAGTTTAGAGTACAAACTTTAGCCTTTATCGGGGATAATTGTTGCAACGTTACATGTACATTTATTTTGTCGTCTAGTTGGCACATGTACGTACATTCCAGTGAATTTATTAGTATTATTTTCTGTTTATTCCCCAGACACCACGGTTTCCTGTTCCATATATTTCAAGGCTTCATCACTGGTTTCAGCTCCACCCCTCCGTTTACAAAATCACAGCTTTCCCAAGATTGCTAGGGTATCCTGGTCAATTGCACCCCCCTGTTCTCTGATTTCTGGGTAGCATACACAGACGGTTTTCTTCATTAAACCATCCTGCTCATCATTTATTCGCTGCCATAGAGTTGTTGTGTTACCCCTTTCGAGCCACGCCCCCTTTCAAGTGAACCTAGTCACTTCTTCATAGTCTGTATCATGTAATCTTTACGGAACCTGTCTGGAGTTGTATCCTTATAGCTGTGACTAAGTGAGAAGAAAAAGGAAATAAAAAACCTCGGAATATTTCTTGCTGGTCGCTCTCGAAATGATTTATTTCTAACTAGGCTCAGAACAGAATGAGGAACATGTACTGCATCCGATTATTGGACAACCGTCTAAAAAAGACGATAATTTCTAGTGGAAATTTCAACTCGTTGAAAATACTGTAAAAACTAAGGTGGAGACGTAAAAACTAAAAGGGGGGAACAAGGCTACCAGAGGATGACGGGTCTGCCAGAAAATTAGTGAGCGGAAAGATCTACAACATTCCGAGCTTCTTATCGGCAGTTAAACAGTATGATACTCCTGAAGCTAGTCCTGCACGACTAAATTCCTGTCGGCCGCAGCCACCGGTCAGGACTCCGGTCAGGGAGAAGAGCACTCTTCTCACCCCTTTTGCGCTGCACCACGCCCTAACCTGCGTATGCTTGGCTAGGCATCGACAATACACAGTTTGTCCCGGGATATGTAAGGAAGAAATTCCTATTACAAGTACATGTGGGAAAGTACGTACGTAACCAAATGAATTCGCAGTGTGCGATATTTGGTTGGTTACATAACTATTACAGTAAAGACCCAAAACGTATGTCAGCACCAGACTATTGAAGCCCTGTTTCTATGAACATATGCAATCCACTATTATTACATGGAAATGTAAAAACGACGCGAGCGTCATGAGGTAGTCAAGCTGACCTACACCGAGGGATCAGTAATTCCCACTACTTCCCCTCAAACCATGCTGTATTTATATACTACCATCTATCTTTCTTTTGCCGCTTTGGGGAGCACTTCAACTCGGGGCAGATAGGCCTACATCCACAGACATATAAACACACAGACCGTCCGCCTTGCATATATAACCACGATTTTGCAAAGTATGGGCAAACAATGGGCGGAACGGTGGATGACAGCGCGTTCAGTGCGCATTACGCGCAATGCACTTATATTTCCTGTATTTGGTTACATAATTATGTTTCCAAATACGTTCACCTTTTTGCTCATCGGTACTGCTATCTCATCTTTCAACTGTTGCAATCGCAGTAATTAAGTAAATATACGGTAAATTACCTACACCGAGGCGCGACTTTACCCATAGTTTGGATTTTAGTCGGGCGCCGCGCAGATTATCAAAAACCCCTGTAACCCTTAAACGCATAGACTTGGCGGCCTATGCATTTATATGTCTGTGGCTTACATTTGTATACCAGCGTATGGTGACGCTCATAATGTCCTATCAAGGTCTAAAAATCACTATGTCTCGGGGCAGGTTGGCGGGGGTCACGGGGTCATTGCAACAGGTGACTTGGATACGTTGAAAAACATTCTTATACTTTTGAGGACTGGTGAATAGCGGGAAAGAAAGATGGGGTGAAGACGGAAGTGGTAGTCGGACAGCAATAGAATAAAGAGGAGAGACTGCTGAAGGCCTAAATAGCTGCTGGTGTGAATAACCCCACTGATTTGCAACCCTTGCTCAAAACAGAGCGGAAATATAAAGCATATTGCTGCACAGAATTTGCTTGTATGTGATCGTCAGTCGATGACCATATATTCAGACTGTACTGTCATCTACCAACCCTTATAGATAGATAGATAGATAGATAGATAGATAGATAGATAGATAGATAGATAGATAGATAGATAGATAGATAGATAGATAGATAGATAGATAGATAGATAGATAGATAGATAGATAGATAGATAGATAGATAGATAGATAGATAGATAGATAGATAGATAGATAGATAGGATAGATAGATAGATAGATAGATAGATAGATAGATAGATAGATAGATAGATAGATAGATAGATAGATAGATAGATAGATAGATAGATACACATTTGATCCCTCTGTGTATGACCCTCTTGCCGCCCCTCTTACCACTAGCAATCAATTTCATACTACTGTTCCAGTGCCGAAACGCCAGTCAACAGCAATATAGCCAAACACTAAGTGACCTCTGCTGTGTGCTGCAGTGATGGCTGGTTAGGGCTGGGGAATGGATTTTGACATTTGTTTATTGTTAGCATGTGGGTGGTGAACCAAGAAGTGAATTGCCAGAATGCTTCAATTTAACCTGAGTATATGCAGGGGAACCTCATTCGTCTATTTAAACCATAGAGGATTGTGTCCGCCAAACACAGATATTTACATGAAGTAAGCACATATACTGCTTTGCATCAGGTAATTCAGTGAAGCTTCTGGGCATCATTATTCAAGATGATCTGAAATGGAAATCTCATGTGCATGAAATAGTCTTTTAGACCCTTACACAGACTATATACGCTGTATTTTGAAGAGAATCTATGTGTCTCCGACTGACCTTCTTGCTGTATAAATATACGTATTATATAAGACCTATTTTGGAATGGGCCTGGAGCTGGACCAAGAGAGGATGCTATCTCCTTTGGCAACGGAGGATCCTTTGTTACTAACTGCTCAACGCTCGTTCATCAACGTCTAATAAAAACATCGCTGCTACCAAAATGAACACTCCCGACCAATGCAGCTCTTTTTCAGCGATGAGGGAGTGCTTCTGTTCGAGGTGGGTAGGTTTGTCAGTTCTGGCACAACTCACCCAGTAAACAACGTACTATCTCAGAAATTTGTGTGTATTCACAAGCTTGTCTGTAGGGTTATTCTTTGGTATCAAAACTATCAGAGTTATTCAAAGAAATACGAAAGGGCTGTGCATCACCGTGATCGGGATATTGACAAAAATTTAATTATACAATCGGTGGTCTGGATTATCCTGTTACCGAGCTTTCGGTAACTGGGTACCTTTGTCAGGGTAAGCAGATTTTGTTCTGAATGAAAGCAGAAAAGTCCACCTTCATTCAACCTGGATGCAGCGTTTCAAGTTCGAAGATAACGCACTGCTCCAGTTCCTTATGCTGTACATCTGATGACGCTTTCTGCAGGATGCAGACGCTTACGTCAAGTATGCAGTGCTGCGCAAAAGGGCTGCACGACAGTGAGACTTGGTGTTTGTTGCCACACACTGCGCAAATGTTCGGCGAAGCAGTCACCAAAAGCGGTCTCTGCGATGTACAGTTCACCACAGCGACAACACGTAATGCAATGAACCGTAAACCTGGTAGTGCATGTATGATTCCCGCGTACTCTGAAGGTACCACGGGACCGGCGACCAATGGGCTATTCACTATGTAGGAGGCAGTAGTGAATCCAGAAGGCACTTTTTGCTTCTAGAATTTGGAAATAAATTGTTAAATTCCCCAAAATGCAGACAAATGCTCCCATCCTTGAAACTAACTAGTGCTGGAAGATATTTACGGAACAAAACCTCATCCAGACTTAATATTCCGATCAGCAGAACTGAGAGATACGAGAAATCCATCATTCCAGCTCTTTCCAAGTTTTCAGGACTACTAATACTGCGTAGTTTTAAAACATGTACAGAACCTGTGGAGAAAACTGCAACTTTAATCTCATGTCACGTGACCCCTGATGACATCAGCATAACGATTTTCTTTTGACCGCCTCACGGGTTGATGGACTACCCATGCTCCCAATACAAAGTCATTCAGATGTATGAGTGCACAAGTCTTTGACTTCATAAAAACGTGCACAAAACCTATGGAAAAAACTGCAGCTTAAAAGTCATGTCAAGTGATTTGCATTCATGTTGAAAAAAATTATGAAATATTATTTAATATTTGGACTCTTGGGTATATTCGGAATCAAACAAGACGATATACGATTTTTCTTTCGTTCTCATAGTAATCCTCAGCCGAAAACCAGGAGTACTCTCATTAAGATCGATAATATTGCGTAGTAAAAAAACGTAATGAGAACCTACGGAGAAAAATTAAACATTGAAACTTAAAAAATGAATCGCGTGAAGACGTCATTATTTGAGTATCTTCTTAGCCTTTGGGTAGTTCCTTATTATAACTTTAATGATTGCTAGGTGACGAAAATGGTGCCTCGAATCTGTGTACAAAGTCTATCATAAAAATTTAATATTCAAATGTTAATAATAAATAAGTCGATGATGTCATTACGCCACATTTCTTAAAGAACCGTCCTTGGACAATGTTTTAACAGTCTACCAAGATTGAAGTCGATGGGATTTATTATGGTACCAAACTCGATCGGCTGAAGAAATAGTCTGAAAAAGGAAAAAAAAACTTTCAGGAAAACAATATCTATTTCGGAAAGAATAAATGCCGAAACAGCTAAAAATGTGCGTCTATTTGTAACGGTGTAGATTTATTGCCGTGGTGGCCCGCAGGGCTAAATAATACAGCCTCTATGGTTCAAACACAGAACATGTTGCAAGCCTTGAGCTTTCACTACATTTTCAGAAAACTTGTTTCATGCCAGACTGCACCATGACCCCACACAGAAAAAGTTCCAACTTGGGGAAAGGCAGTAGAAAGAAGAAAACTGATAATTGAAAAAGTGCTCGTTATCGGAGACTCACATATCCAAATTGAAGTGCAGATCATTCCTGCCCTGAATATGGTGCGCGTGCGCCTCGAAGCCAGTGGACACATAATGACGTAATACCTATCGACCGTCATGGCGGCGAGTGTGGTGCATGTAGCCTGAACAGACACCTGTGATAAAACATGATAGGGTATATTTACGTGAGTTCATGAGCAAAACAAGTGCAAACGACTTGAGTACGTATAATTATGATAGATTCACAGGCGTGATTATGTATGTTCAATATACAATGATGATAATGATGGTTCTTTTGGACGTGAGGGTGGAACAGTTACGATTGTGTGATGGAATAATCATTATGACGGGTTTAGTAGTGACCGCGATTATGTTGATGGTACAGGTGATGTTGGTGGTGACTCTGGCGGAATGCTTTTTGTAATTATGTAGGTGATAATGGTAAGGGTCATAGGTGGTGAAAAGGGTGGCTGAAAAATGGCCATATAAATTCTAGTGTTGAACATATCTTGATACCAACAGTCTGGGCTTAATTTCAAAGAAAACGCCGATGATCGTAACAGAAATTTCAACTGAATTATTTCTTTCATCATTGTCGGCCTACTGTTGCCGATAGATGATAAAGCAACTGTTACATCTCAACCCTGAAATGTGAACCCCAGTACACGGAAATAATGTTCAATTTGATTGGCACCCCCTGATCAATTTTCACAACCAAGTGGGAAAACGGGCCAATGGCTGGAGAGAGTAAAATCAGCAGGGTTCACAAGGTAGATGTCAGTCTTTTGGTATTGGAAAGTAGCATAAAAGATAAAAAACGACACGAAACGTACTGAGCTGTTTCGGGAAACTCTTTCCCAGAAAGGAAATAAACATTGCTCTTTTAGTCCAAAGTGCCACTTCAGAGGATAAACTGATTTAAATGTTGCCCTTCAGAAGTCGATTGAAATGGTGAACTTTAATTGTGACGAGACTTGTCACCTATTCCAGTGACGTTATCATCAGATAATGTCACTTGTGGTCTATAAGACTAACGAAGTATGGCTGTTGAAAAACGTGTACAAAACAAATAGAGAATATTAAAAATTCATAATTCTATCATAAATCGGGTGATGAGGTCAGGATGACGTCATGACTAGCATACATCTTCAGATGGTAGTCTATGTGTCAGTTTTGAGAGAAATTGACCAAAAGTAAAGGCCAAAAATCGTGTGTAAAAACGACCCCGTGTTATGTCTTAGGGGAAAATGGAAACAGAAGAAAAAACGAGACGAATGTTGTGTTTGTCAGTAAAGCCTGAGCTGTTTAGGGAAGAAATGACGCTAGAATCGGCGGCAATCCAACCCAGGTCCACAGTGATACTTCATGAGATATATTGCTTGAAATGTTGCACTTCACAAGTTATGATTGAAATGGTGAACCTTAATTGTCACGTGATTTGTCGCCCAATGACGTTATCATCACAAGATGTCAACTGTAGTCTATAATACTTCCTTTCTAGCTATCAGCAAAGTTCCAACTTAGGGGACATTTCCTTCAGGAGATATAAAGTTCCAAAGGGTGCATCTTTAATGTAACAAGACTTGTCACGGGATGACATCATCACATGATGTCAATTTTTTTCTATAACACTTCCCTTTTTGTGACACTTGATGACGTCATTACGACGATTTTGTTCTTGGACCCTCTCCAACTGATGGACCCAGAGTGCGCACAAAATATACAGTCAGATAGACCGATAAAAGTACCGAAGAACAGCTGCTGAAGAAAACACGTACAAAGGGGAAAAATAAAATATTCCCAAATCAACAAAATAAAACAAATTGACGTCATTATGACGTATTAGCGTAATTTTTGTATCAGAGTCTTGTTGGCTGTAGCCCTGATGACAATTGAGGTCGCTAAATTACCAAAATGGTGCCTTAAAAGCACGTATACAGTCAATGTGCTTTAAACACCTATGTAGAAAAACTGCTCCTTTAAATTCATGTCACGTGATTTAAAAGTAAACTGTTGTGGTATATTACTTGATCTTTTGACTCTTGGGTATATTGCAAATCAAAAGAAGAGGGAAACTAGAGGTCGTCTGTCTGTTTGCAAACAGAACAGAAGGCTTTTTTCGCACTTTGTTCCTTAATTGATCGACTGCATGAACCTGGTAACGATAACTTTACATTACATGTATGCCCATTTCTCTCAAGCTACCTGCAAGGTTTCAACCCAATGGCAAATTGAGATATACAACTTTAAGGAGTAAAGCTTTGATGTCGAGTGACTTGTCAGCTAATGATGTTATCATTACATGAGGTTTATATACGTCTATAAATCTTCCCTTCCCTTTATAGTTATCTATAAAGTTTCAACTAATGGCACATGTACTGAAGAAGATATAAGCTATAAAGAATGCACCTTTAATGTCATGTGACCTGTCACCTGATGACGTCATCATCGCACGAGTTCAATATTTGCCTAAAGCACTTCCTTTCGAAGATACAAGCAAGGTTGCGACCAAAAAGGCCATGCACTTCAAGAGATACAGCGCTTGGAAGGACCTCATCATATCAGGTCAACGTTCGTCTAAAGTACTCCCCTTCTAAGATATTTACAAGGTATGATCCCAATCGGGCGTGTACTTCAGGATATAGGGCCTGTAGCACTTTAAAGTTTAAAGGATGCACCTTTAACGAGACTCATCGGCTGATGACACTGTCATCACATGAGGTCAATCTCCGTTTATAACCTTCCCTTCCTAACTATCCTCAAGGTTTCAATGCAATCAGATGTGTTCAAAACAAATACACTACAAAACATTTTTGCTATCGCGGAAAGAGCTCAGGTTAGAGATAGCAAACATTTTCCTTTCCCCATTCCATACAATGCGATCTGCTTACAGCGTCACGTGCTTGGAAATTTGCCAAATGCTGAGTACATGCTCTACGCACGGTGCGCTTCCTATATTACAGGGAGATATTGCGTTTCAACGCACAGAGTAGCCAATGCATAGTGCGCGGATGGGATTGTCGAGTTCCCGAATATTTTTAGGGGGTTTTTGTCGTCGGTGCTTCATCTATGTGATCAAGTATACCTGTTAGGCACTTGATGCAGCTGACCCTAATGTTTTAGCTACCATCTAATGGACAATTCAATGTAATATCTGTTATGATTGATTTTGTACCAAATTTTGAATAAAAATGACTTTTTATTATAATTTCCGGTATGATGACGTCATCGGCCCCAAATTTCACACGTGTAAAAACGGTAAAAGTCATCATCTACATCAATTTTTAGTGGATTCCAAACTTCGCTACACATATTTATTCCAAATTCATTTTTCAGAATTTTCAACCTGTTGCTAGAGGGCGCTCGAAAATTAAGTAACGTCATCAGTAGATGATTTGAAGAATACTGTGCCCCTACAGACCAACACCGTTGAAAACATATTGCCACTTTTAAATAATAAGCCCACTTCTGGTTTCGACCGGAAGGAAGGGTCACACGATTCGACCCACACAACAGATGAATTGCAGACCCAATTTTTACTCTGGCACTTGCCGCAAACAGAATTGCTGCAGTAGGCCACAGTTGATTTGATGTGGATTTTTACAGCATTGACATAATATTTAAATATTCAAAATTTAATAATAAATCACTTGGGGATGTCACATGATGTTATTATTTTAATATTATCGCTGCCTTTTTGGCAACTTGCGAAAGAGTCAAAACACAGAAGACGTAATGCCTGTTTCAATTTGCAAAAAAAGTCAAAAACAGAACAAAAGAATGCCTTTTTTGCGAAAAGGCCAAAAACACAACAGAAGTAATGCCTGTTCCAATTTGCGAAAAAGCCAATAAAAGAACATAAGTAATATCTTTTTCCAACTTGCGAAAAAGCAACAACAGCAACAAAAAAACCAAACAGAAAAAAGTTTTGAAAACCAGAATGCCTTTTTCGTAAACTGCGTCAAGGCGAAAACAAACTTTTAAAAAAAATGCGTTCTCCGCTAAGCTCAAAATAAGAAAAAAAGAAAGAAAACCTAAAACATATTAATATTTGCTTCCGCTGGTGTCCGAAACAGGTAAAAAAAATAAGAAAAACGAGAGCTAAACAGCTAAAAACAATTTAAGAAAACAAAAGCTTTTTTGCTGGTGTCAGAAACAGCTAATACCCGCAAGGGATTCTGCAAAAGGTTTATTTTTCGCTGTAGAACAGCGTTTTGTTCCGTGCTGGTAATTGCTTTTGAAAGAAATTAATTTACTGAAAATCAACGATAACAATGAACGTAAAACTATTTCTTCCTTCTCTAGTTACTCCTTATATTTTTCCTCCCTTTTTTACAATCTAAAGTTGTATAGGTTATAGAAATTTTCATCCTGCAGAAGTTGCAAACGTTATTTTTCAACGAATATTTATCTATTAATTTAGAAAAAGTTATTATCCCTTGCGATTTTAAAGTCGTACAGTTATTCAAACTTTTCAATGTCGGTTTTAGTGGTGATGAAGTCAGTTCACTTCGAAGATTTATATATTTTCATATTTCTGTGATTGAAAAGAAGCAGAGATAATCGAGCTTATTATCTCGTAGAGAGTGAATTGATGTTTGCTTTTAACTGGCATTGCGGTATCTAAAATCAAAATAAAAAGCGGCAGCCTGGCCGGGAAGGGACATACTTACACATTGAACGTAGGCGTTAAGTTTGCAGAAGAATTCACCGAAGTGCCATTGGACAGTGGCGAATTGGACCGATGTCAGGGGAGCACAGACCACAACAAAGACAATATCACTCACGGCTAAGTTCATAATGTAGAAGTTGGTAACACTGCTACGCATGTTGCGGTAGCGCAAGACAATGATGATGACCATGGAGTTTCCCAGCAGGGCAAGAATGGTGATTAGGGCTAAAGCAATGGGAACAATAACACTGGCTAGGTGAATAGGGTTTTCGTGGCTTGTTTCGTTGGTGAAAAAAATGTAGTCACGGCTTCCATATTCCAAGTCGTCGGATCCCATATTGTCTTTCTGCCACACTTTCCCTGGAATACTAAAAAACATCAATCTCTTGAGGGTGTGACAGAAATGATGAAAGCACAATGAAGAGATTCAGTGACCCTGTGAACGGCTGATGTAAAGATTAATCACCATAAACCAGAACGTGAAGTCCAGGAGAAGTGTGCCGTTTCTCAAGAGGAGGTTGTCAACGAGTGCCTTCTTGGCGGAGCAGTCAAGAACACCTTGGATTACTGGCGGATAACCTCCAGTAATACGCTTGGTGAGTGGATGTTTTCTAACCGTTACAATCTCAACAGATTGCTTGGTTTTGCTCCCCTGTCACGGACACGCCGAGTTCACTCTCACAGAGTCATGTTGGTTTTCTGAGTCACCGTGGTTAAGTCCTATCCCCACATACAACCTGGATGCAAAGACAAGGAAAAGATTCGAGAAACGATTGAAGCTTGAAAACAGCAGAAACGGCCAAATTTGGCGAATGAAGGAGCTAATATATTGAAATATTTGACAACTCCAGGCTGTCAAGTGCCGTTGATCAGAATAGCACACGAAATGACAAACTGGCCGAACATCCTGAGTAAAGAGAGGTTCGATCTTGCCTACGCGGGGCAGCTCGGCCACTGATTGGTCGATTGCCGATAACACGCGCAGTCTCGTGTCTGCACAGTCCATTACCTAAACTGACAATTTAGGGTGGAAGCCCACAGTACAAAAATCCAATGTGACTTGTCTGCGTTTTTGTCGTACTTAGGCATTACTGCTTGTGTGCAAATTATCTTCTGAACTGACTTTTTATACAATAAATACAAGAAAACGTTTTCAAACTTACCATCGAAAGAAGTTACACATTTAATATACATTTTGCTTGATACTAAAGCACACCACTCTTCCGGTGTTCAGGTCAACAAATTAAAGGTTTTCACAAGAATAAGGGATAGTCAATTCATAAAAGGAATGTTGGGTATATACTTCAATTATTATTTTTTTCTTCCCTCTAATTAGAATAAGATTAAAAGTAAGAAGACATACAGTAATTAACTATTTGTTTCTTTATTTTCAGAGTTCTTCTTTCTTGTTTTATTCCATAATGTAATGCGTAAGGTTTTTCTTTCTTTTTGCATATACAGTCGAATGTTTTCTCCACCAGCGTAGCGTAACACCATAATTTGCCTTCAATATCCTACCAAAATAATAATTTACCAGGTCTCAGGGAATCTCAAGCTACTTCCTCAACACCAAATAATAAAAACTATACTGTTAAATGCTCAAATAAAAATACGACCCACTTAAAGAGCAATGAGGCAAATTTACAGTTCATGTAAAATTTGACAGTAACCGAGGTTGATATTTCTGCAACCTTTGATCACCCATTCGAATAGTATGAGAGCGTTCTTTACAAATGCATTTTGAAGGTTCCATAGACTCACCCTTAATAGCACAAGCAAAATCAGTGTTGCATGGTATACAGGAGAATGAGAGATGAGATTATATGTTTAAGATACAAAAGGCAACAAATGCCAATTTAATATAAATGGGAAAACACGTCCACAATCTTTTACTGAAAAAAACCTTTTTCTCAAAAGACAAAAAAGGCGTTATCTATGCTTACATCTGAACTATTCAACAGCAGTTTCATTATAGGAAACGCATTTATGAAAGCCACTGCACTCTGCGTGTAATGCTAGCTATATACACGCTGCCTGCGGGTGGGGTACATTTAAGGCTTAAATACTATCGCAAATTTTGTATCAGTATTGCATCCGGGGCTGATACTGTACACTTTATAACATTGCCCGAAAGTAATGCATGTTACTTTGGGTAATTTTGTGGGAACGATATCTGTGAGATTTTTAGTGCCGAGGTTCGTCCATAATTTTTGTCGTAGAAGGAGGGGGCTACACTAGAATTCGCCCCCCAGACAAAAAAAGCCCGTGGCGCTTGAACCCCATCCCACCCCGTTGCGGGGACGGGGATGTGTCTTATATTAGAGCTCATAGATGTATACTGTATCTTCATTTCTCAGAAACTCGGGGTGGCCCCCAGATAAGAACGTTTATGTTTCTATATACCAGGCCACCCAGGAATCTGAAAATTTGCAGATATCGGCAAAGAAGGTGTAAATACTACATATTTGGTGGGGAGAATTCCTTAGTATATATAGAGTAATTTAAAGAGGTTTTCTGTCCCTGCAGCGAACAGGATTTTATTATGATGAATACTGTATGAATGTGAATATGCATGCTATGTCGGCTTCTTGTCAGAGAGTTTACCATTGATAACTCTGTAGGGTCAAACTTCGAGCCAGTGAGGCGTTCTTATTCTGTCAGATGGTTTTGATACAAGAGACAAGCAACTTCAGCGGCTCACTTTGTGTACGGCGTTTCCGGATCAATGCAGAAAATTTGAACTTTTCAATCGTCCACCTCCACCCCATCTTTATCAGCTGGCAAGTATGGTGGGAAGATAAAATTGTCCATAACTGCTTTTAAATGTTTTTTTTTTCACATCCACGAAGATCTACATCACGAAGATCTACCCGTCACTTTTCCCGTTTGTCCAGGAACAATGAACACTGTTATTACACGCAGACTATTCACTGCAAACGTAGATACACTAAAACAAAACTTAATGGTCATTCACTACTAGAATAATAAAATCATTATCTTGATAATAACGTTTGGAATTAGCATACATTGCAAAAAACCACGACACTTGCCTAAATGGTTCCCTACATGAAGGTTCACCGGAGGCCATTTTCCTGTAGATGTACCATCAAAAAGAGAAGAATTCTTTATGGAAATTTATAACTTATAAGTAATCGCTATAATAAAGTTACTTTATGACGTATTGTACGACCCCTTTTCGTACACTGGCTGAGTAATGTTGCAAGGAAAGGTCTTGTCTCCCTTACATTATAATGTATCAGGGTCTGGGGTACCCTTATTTTACTTTCTTTGAGGCCCATACTGCTTCCAATACTGTTCAAAACAGTTGCGGGCTTTATGGTGCAGAAGCAACACTCCTTTCCCACGGCCCTGTATGGTCCCTTGTTAAATGATACAGGCTGTACTGCAAAGGCAGAGTCACAGATCACGGTTGGTTAATATTGTCCAAGTAGTTTAGTCTGACGGTTACAGTAGTTCCTTGTTTTATAATTTAAAAGTCCTTGTCAATTTATCCTTGTTTTGAAATTTCAGAAGTCGTCTATCATTATTCAGTCTATCGACATATAAGATTTCTTATTTTATATCGCTATGCTGAAGTCAAGAAAGCGAGTGGCGGCAACTGGGCAGGCTTCGGAGGGTATATAGGATGACGTGGGGGAGGCGTCGTTCTGGAAGGCCTAACCAAAGCCAAGGTGTTGCTGTCGATGTAACCCCACGTTCGGTCGGGTATGAGGAGAGTAAACTGTCAGATACCATGCCGCCATCTCCAATGGTGTTTTGGATGGAGTATCTTTCCTACCTGCAGGTCTGCCTAGTGATGCCGCTGCACCGCCGATAACTTCGGGGTTTGGTGAGTCGGATGTTCACAATCTGTTTTCCCATGCCTGCTGTAGCCTGGCAACCTATTTCTCAAATTATTTCTGCTAGTGTCCCGCTACTAGTACTCGTCTGCAATGCCATTGACTCCCAGTCCTTTTTTGTCTCAAGCTTTTAGTGAAGCGTCTTCAAAGCCTAATGCACATAACTGCACAGCGCTAGCCAGCGTTTATGATGAATCGGGGCTGAGAGTAACCAAGTAAATTCTTGCTGTCTCGTCGCATAGAGAACATATTGTGATAGGATTAGGTGTGTCTTGTGTATCATTGTCTGGCTAGCATTTTTTATCAGTTTACTCGTCAGATTTATGGTAGCCAATATTGGTTTAGCTTAATTAAGAAGTATGGCACAGAATACAGACACTCACTACTTTGTGCACTTTGTAATTTGTATCTAAGAACAAGTCTTTAAATTCGACTCAGAATAACGTTTGACAATAAAATCAGGCAATGCTGGCCTTTCAGGCAGGGTGCTCATAACAGTAAAATATGTGTCATCTTCTTTAGAATTTATTAAAATGGTTGTGTATTATTTAGAGATAGGGGACAAACATTGGTAAAATCACGAAAATGTGACTGCCGTATAATCCTCAACTATCTTACTTGAAAGAAAATAGAAGCCTCGGACAATCAATATCTTATTTCCGCCCAGAAAGCTGTTGTTTTCGAGAAAACAGAAACTGTGTTCTTTTTTTTAACAATGGCCGGCTGACCATCGTTTAAAAGTACACTTCATTTTACACACCACCTCCGTTAATGGGCGATGTGTGCAAATGTAATGCTAGAGGCAGCTAAAAAAGCGCTGGCAGAATTCACCGAACGTATTGTAAACGGAAGTTAGAGAAAACTAAGTGTAAAGTAAAAGAGAAATTTGATCAGTTTGAATTAAAATTTATACAATGGTAAGTCCAAACTGACCGGTGTTATTGCTGCCGTTCCGGGCTATCACAGCAAGAGGATTTTCGCCACAAAAAGTACGACTGTCAGTGTGTGCTTAGTTCACTTAGTACGAACGCTCTATAGTTCATGGTTTTTGCGTCAGATAAATTAAAAAATTTTCAATTTGGCAAAAGAAGTAATCTCAAACACAAAAAAAAATCAGTGGAATGAAAGCTGCAGTGGATCATGCAACCCAGATCAGTCAGAAGCTTAATTATGTCAAAACCGAAGCTATAAACCCCCCTTTAAGTCAAGAAAATTGAAAAAGTGGTTCATTCTACGAAATCGTCTTTCCAGTTACTACCCAAGGGTTGATGGGTTAAACTGATATACATAAACCACTGTACATCCACATTTATGACAAATTCATGAAGGAGTCCAATCCATGTTTGAAGGTGCTGATAAGGCATTTACAACACTGTCAGGGGAACTAATCCATGTGTTAATGACACGTTTACCGAAACAGTAACTCTTCTGCTTAATGATTTACAGAACTCTTGCCTGTGTATCTTCAGTGCCCTCTTATTCTAGATTAAGATGGCATGTTTAAAAAGTTATGCTCATCCAAATCTTCAAAGTTATTTATAATCTTGAAGGTCTCAATCAAATTATCCCTAATCTTTTTGTGTTCCAGTGTCGTGAAACAAAGAGACTGCAATATGAAAGATTCCTCAGTGTTGGTACTGACTTAGTTTCTCTTTTTTGTACTTTTTATCCAAAATATCAACATCCTTCCTAAAACAGAGATCCCACGATTGTATACTGACATACGTTTGTCTTATAAAGGATACCCAGAGATTTTTGTGTAATATGACTAAATGAACGTTTAAGTAACCTCAGCGACTTCATAGCTTTTCTCCGCTGGGTAAGTACACTAGTGACCCCCACTTGCAATCACTTGTGTAAAATCCCACATCCTATTCTTTATCGATTGACTGTAGCTACTCCTCGCCATCGATTGTTTTGTCCCCCAAATATATCACATTACACTTGTCTCGATTAAAACTCACACACCATTTAAATGACTAGCTAAAACGCTTATCTAAATCCTG